ATCTAATTACACAGAAGACAGTTTGATCAAACAATGTGACCATGTAAGGTCCATATAAGGCATCAACACACATGTGCGATTCTGACGGTGCGAATCTGTTCCGAAAAAATTACAACAATGCCGCAACTATTTATTGGAAATTGCAGACCTACGCGTTCGGAAACGAAAAAGGTTAATAGGCGGGTTCTGTATAATTTAAACAAAAATTAACGTAAGAAAACAAAACATCTTGATTGTTCAAAAGCAAAGAATTTGATGAAGATTGTTTTTTGTTTGTTTATAAGTTGCCATTTTTCACTGCGATAGCATCGCACAGATGTGTGCGTAATTGTGTTTTCGCAGTGGTAAATTCTGTAGCATCAGAAATGGTGCGGAGGTCGAGGTGAACTCGAGCCGGCAAAAAAACAATATTGTGAAATTTATTAAGGGTAGTAGTCTACCGGGTATCTGATCGGATATCCGAATCCGGCTGTTATTTTTTACAGGATATCCGGAATCCGGCTATCCGGCAAAATCTATATCCGGCACATCCCTACTTTTGAGCATTACTTTTACTAGAATTTGTACCCATTACTTAACTAATTTATTTGTCATCTAATCACCCAATCGATCTATTTTTTACATTTCAGGAAATGGGTTAATAAACGAGGCTGAATTCCTGCAATGGGTTGGGCGCATTCAGGCGATACGCGACGAACAGCAACAACAGCATGAAGAAAATGCAAGTAAACCAGAAGAGAATGATGATGTCACCGAAGATTTAATCGCCGCATTTAGGTGAGCCATCGAAAAGGCGCACTGTATTTATATTTTGCCCACAAACATATTGACATGCATATCATATACCTAATATATGATATACTACATATATGTACACACTTGTGTGGATACAAATGTATATGCATTCATATGTATTCCTATCAACATGCATTAAGTAAATTCTTTGTCAATCGTAGATAGATACAGTATTCAGAATCTTGAGTACCTTGATTAAGGAATTAAGGAGAGTCAATTCAAACTAGTTAGGATTGCACATCTACATACATTCATACATGCATACATACTTATATATAATCTAACGCTTTAGCTTCTAGTATATCTGACAACTTAAAATGTTATCGTGGATTTTGTACGTCAATAGAATTTTAATTGTACATATTTATGTATGTACATTAGGGCGCTACACCAAAGAGTTGCGGGTTTTACATAGGAACTAGCAAATATGTAAAAAAATTGTATGCAGGTCTTTTAAGCTCCAACTTTTGCTATCATAGAGTTTATTTCGTGTTAATAAAGACATTTTTAAAAACTATTTTTTTTTATAAAAAGCTCGATTGTTGGAGGTATTTTCAAATCGGACCCTCCCGCGTACATATGTACATTAGAGTGTTGCAAATTTTGTTTAAGAAAAAAATGTCATCGTAGAAGCTTTTAATTTTCTGTGACCAATACAGGGTGCTCAATGACCACTGAAGCTGGTAATATTTGTTCGGATAATTTAAATTTTAAATGGTCTCAGGTTGCTTAACCTATTCTTTGCTTAATATATGAACAATAAACTTGTAGAGTAAAATTTAAACTTTTCATAAGCATCCTCTAAATTTATACTTAGAAACGTAAACGCACCAAGCGAGTAACTCTTTCAGCAAGAAGAAAAAATTTGGAAGGTGGCCTCAACCCTAACTCGGGAAAAGATTTTTTTGTACCACTCTAATGTACTTAATATTTTTTCGAAATATGTTGGCGGATGTTTTAAAATATCACCGTTTTTTTGTATGGAGAGTGATGCACCCTAATGTTCATACAAAAATATGTATTTCAATTGTATCCACTTTGGTAGAATCGTAATCTGCTTGTCGCTGGCGCAATCAGCTGGCCTTTAATCAAGCACACCACAAACTGTCAACAACAAAGCACAACAAGTTACTGCCGACGCCATTTCTCCTGCTCCAGCTGTCACACACAGTGACTTTTCGGTTTCGGTTTGGTTTCCACGCAGGACTTAACTGCAAAATGTAACTTCCTGAGAAGTCTGATTTAAATCCCTTTAAACAGTAACTGCGTCAGGTTACTCGTATCAATGTGCAATGTGCAGTTTGCCAACCCATGGAGCAGGCAGAGTTACAATGGCGGCTGAGAATGTTTACCTTTGCTTGTTCAAGATATTAAATTTGCCGGCGGTCCGGCACGTATCTGTGGGCTTCTCCTCGACATTCATTTCGTGCTTGTTTGGATTGTGAATTATTGATTTTCTGATAATACTGTGTGTTTGTGCCACATATACATACATATGTATGTATGTGTTTGCACACAGAAACAAATATTTATCAACTCTTTGTTACTTCGATAAGAAAAATTGATTTTGTAGTAGGGTGAGGTCGAGTACAGGTACAAGTAACTACTAGTACAGACACAGACACAGTAACAAAGCCAAATATAGATACAATTACAGATCCCATTACATATACAGGTACAAACTTAGTTACTATAAGGATACTAATTATAAATCTATATTTTTTTCTACAGGGTATTTGATCGGGACGGCAATGGTTTCATTACCCGCGACGAACTACAAACCGCCATGGAGATGATTGGCGAACCTCTCTCAGAAGCACAACTCACACAATTATTGGCTATTGCCGATTTGGATCAAGATGGCCGAATTAATTACGAAGGTAGGTCAGCCATACATATAGTATGCTCTTACATGCATAAGTACAAGCAAAGCCAGCTAATACCCAATAAGCATACCACCCTTTGCATACTGAAGCTTTTGTCACCGTACAATTCTTGTAAGTAAAATATGTTTTGCTTGCAATAATTTTGCAGTGCATTAACCTTAGCGTGCAGCGTGGCACAACAGAGGTCAGCTATGACGCACATTACGACAGCGTGCTTATGCATAACATTCTAACGCTGGCATGCAATTGTTTTGATTCATTTGTATGTACATACATACTATGTACATTAGGGTGTCCCTGAATTTTTTTTTTTGCGAAATTCGATATGCATACCCTGTACATTTTTTTTTTCCTTTTAACATAAATAACATATGGGTCAATTCATGTCAAATCGACCAATGGTCCAACCAATCGACCATTTTTGATTTGCATAAATTTTGATCAGAACTTTTCTTTTATCATATAACGAATCTGCCAAAGGAAATAAAAATAAAAGATATTTTTTCGAAAGTTCAAAATTGCACAATTTCTCGGATTTTGCAAGTTTATCTTTTGATTAGCTCAAAAACTTTTATAGTTGCAAAAATTGTTCTGGTTAAAAAATTCTAAAAATATAAAAATTTACAGAACTTTCAAATTTTAAAAATCGCAAAAGGAAAAATGTATAAATTTTAAATATTTGGCTCATTTTTCTTAACAGTTCATGAAGTTTTCAAGGTGTTTTTATGTTAATTTTTGAAAAAATTATTGCAATTAAAAAAAAAAAATATTGCAAACTCTAAATAAACAAAGTTGAATTAAATAAAAAATGGTGTGACATAACTTCATGTCACGTTACAGTCGTTACGTTACTAAAATTTACATTAAAAAATTTGTAGTAAGATGGTTTTTAAACCAATTTTGACCACAAAAAGAAACATGCATTTTATGTCGAATATATTTTTTTAATTTGACCTCAGCGCCACCTAGCAGTTCCACTTTTGCAAATCTATGTCTTAAATGGGAGCATAAATACGGATTTTAAAAATATCTCCACCCAGGCGCCACCTAGCGAGACCATTTTTCGCAAATATGTTTCTGCTTACATAACCAGTACTCGTATTTATTATTCGTTCCATACATAAATTAGAGATGTAACTTCTATTTTTTTCGCGGTAGACCTTCCGCTGGAAACGCCCCTATGTAAATACATGTTTATGTGTAACTTCTTAAGCTATCGAGTTATTCAAATGTTAGTCCGAAGTTGTAGTTGTACAAGGATGCACCGACCTTCTCAGCAAAGCATGCATATTTGTCCACAGTATATGTAGTATAAATATATCTATGTACGTATATACAGCTACATTAATATATTGAACAAATATTGGCACAATGGGTATACATATAATACAAGAACAATAGGTCTGTTCGTTTACATTTTCCAATGAAAGGGTCCCATCTCTTAATTTAAACGTTTCTAAATACGGTCGTGTATGTATTGGTTGTGCTAATAACTTATAAATTGAAACTTTTTCATTTAAAGATATTTTTAGTCAGACACAGCAATATATTTTCACAGCACAATTTTCGAAAAGCTGTATTTGATGTTTAATTCAACATTATTTAATTTCATACAAATTCGGTAACAAATTTGTCACACGATGACACTGGATTGTTTTGACATCACTCCTATAGCACCAGCACTGGAAAGTGAACTTTTAAATTGGAAAGCAAAATACATTGGAAAAGTATTTTCATTGCCACATCTAGCTACACTTTTAGAAATTCAGCATTTTCTCTCTTATTTAAACTAGCTTGGGTCTGATAACTTTGTTTTTCGTCCTCTTAAGTCCCTTGGAATAGAAATAGACCAATATTACTTTTCATTACTTAATTTCTGGTTTTAAACAGCCTTTTAGGAATACCTCTTTCTTCCCCATTAATTTAAAGACACGTATGTTAAAAAGAAAAAAAAAATCAAAACTGCTCGATTCCCTCCACTATGGAGAAGAGTCGTTGAACGAATACCGGATCACAACGGATGAAATGGATGCCAATACAAAGGGCCAAAATTTTGATCCAAATCCTGAGAGCATTGCAATGGACGAAATGGTTTTCAGACCAAACCGGTCAGACCGGTCTGCAAACTGTGCAAACTATACGTTGAAATGTCCTACTTTGACTCTGTTGCCAATGACGATAATGCACATACGACGATTAGGATCATGAACACTCGTCTCAAATTGAGGGCAATGCAGTAGACTAGGCCGTAAATAAAACTTTGCAATTACCCCGTCTACAGGGACTTACGATTTCCATTCCGACCGGACTGAATGTTGATGATGATACGAGTACGTCACCCATACGCCATGACACCCAACTAACTTAGGCAGGCAGGCAAGTGATCAAGCAGACTTGGGATCGGTGTGGACTTTTATTTTAAGTTAAATTTAACATTTTTTCGGCAAAAAAGGGGAAATTGTTCAAATTTTTTTAATTTTTAATAATCGATTCTTCTCAATCCAGAAAACCTTTTTAGTGTAGTTTTACCTCCAGGGCCAACTAAAATTTCCATAAACCACTTTGGAAGGGGAGAGGGGGTCAAAAATTGCTAAAAATCTGATTTATCGACGCCCTCAAATATTTTCACTCTGATCGCAACAAATTGGATAAAAATTTAAACATTTGCACGCCCTTTTTTAACCATTCATTTTCGTTCAAATGAAAACTTATTTTTAATATTAATACATATTTAATCATTACAAATTAAAAAAAAAACATTTATTTTTGGTCTATTTACAGAATTTACGAGACTTT